AGTTCAGGCGAAAAGAAATGTTGAAAGCAAGAGTCGTGACAATGTTTGACCATGACGGGTTCACCTTGATTGAAAGTGCCGATGGAGTCGAAGGAGGGACACATTCCTACAATGGGCGGAAGCTTGCGGAAGTAGGTCCTAGGGATATGAGGGTGGTGTACGAATTTGTAGAGAAGGCATTTGTGCACTCCAGCTCCCTCAAACCAAAGGCATGTCATCAATTCTATCCCCTACCGACACGGAGGGAGAAGGGATACAAGCCGATCGACCCCATGACGATGGTCGGGAAAGTTGAGCTAGTACCGATCAACGGAGTCACTTTCGCTGCACAGAACTCCGACTACGGCAACCACAAGTATCCGACTCCAGACTGTCGAGTACCTGAATACAGCCAAGCGAGCCAGGTCCTGAGTCGCCGATTGGGAGCGAAGTTGAGACATCGAATTGGACGCCAGTTCAGGACAGGAGGAAGACTCACACCAATCAAATGCGATGAGGGCGCATGGGTGTCATGGGAAGACCTGTTAGGTGATAACGCAGTTTGGGAAGACGGTTATCACTATGGCAATATAGACATCGTGACAAGAAGGCGCGTTTGGAGAAGTACCTCGACCAGAACTATGAGTGTTTCCGCATAACCAAGAGGATCAGATTCCAAATGTTGGCGGTCCGTGTTCACCCTGATGAACTCAATGACCCTGATGACCCGATGGAGAAGGAATGGATTGACGAGCTCAAGGGCATGGGAATCTCCAAAGGAAGACTCCACCATAGCGATGGATGGTGCTTTCCCGTGGCTGTAAGAGCAACCTCAGCACACTCATCGGACGGTGGAGGTTATGACGTTACCATCAACATCGACCACATTGGATCGAGAATGACCAACGACATGGCCCTATCTATGGTGACTGCATTTCACGCTACCAATCTTGGAGCGCTGACTTCAATCATGCGACGGGGGCTAGTGCCAGGAGGTCTCGGTTCATCGGGAAGGGATTCTATCCACTTCACATGTTTTCCGCCATGGGCCTGGGAGCAGGGCTACAAGGGAAAACCTTGGCTGGGTCGTAAGGTCGCATTGAGTGATCGCCCAGTGGTTCTCTACATTCCGGTGTGGAAGCTGCAGGAGTACGGGCTTCTCATCTCAGCGACTGGATCTCTATTGGTTGAGGACGTCGTTCCCTTCGATGAGGTTAAAGGGGCATGGTTGCAATGCGACAATGCAGAACCCGGACAGCCTGAGGAGATCGAATGGATCAGGTTACTCAATAGAGAACCCGACCCTGGAAGCTACCTTGTTCTGGAGTCCAAATACGGAAACCCGATCATGACTCCACGCTATCAAAAGCTTGAGAGTTTAGCGGTTGAGGTTCAGGACGACACTTACTCCGAGGACGACGCCAAAATCTCAAAGCTGTTGGGCATGATCGAGGAGAGTGGTGTCTACCCAGAATATGATAGCACCGAGTGGCAGGAAATCTTTGAGGAGATCGTGTACCGCCGGGCAATGAAAGACTATGACTCAAGACCGTGTCCTAACTGTCTTGGCGAAGTCGATGTGCGATTGACGATATGTCCGCACTGCGTAGCGGTTTTGATCGCGAATGGGAAGCTCACGCATGTGGTACCCAAGGAGACAAGGGACCGCAATCAACGATCACCTCCGAGGGATGTCCCAGCCAGTTCTTCCGGTGAGGCAACTTCTGCTGCAGGTGCAAACATCGATGAAGTCATCAAGAATGCACGCAAGACAGCCGAAGAAGTCATTGACGTCGAGGAATCCGAAGGAGAGGAAGACGAGGAAGTTCCTATCATTTTGAAGGAACGACCGGACGAAGCTGAAGGCGAACCCGAATATCGAGAGGTCCCTCAAGATGGATACGGGAATGAACTTCCACAGCCTTTCCCCTTCGCAATTGACGAATTGCCGCAAGAAGCTGCGATCCCCATCGACCACAACTTTGCAGTCACACAGCAATTTGATCTGAGGTTGATGAAGTTGATCAAGAGCTTGGCCAACGCAACGTTCGACATCAATTGCTTTGAGAGTCGTGAAGACGTACTGCGAAAGTTCGACGATGGACAGCGGCATGATACTCCATACAATAGATGGCCAATAGTACCGAATGATCCGGATACTGGGTTTCCAAGACGCCTTCAGAGAGCCGAGGTCGTAGGCATGAGCAAATGGACCAACGACGTGTATGCAACAGAAGCGTGGCAGATCTATGAATTCCACGCCCACGTTATTCACCCGATGATGATCACTGCAATCCGCTGCGGGCTTAGCCATAAGTACCTCAAAGAGGTCGGCAGCACTCGGCGTAACATGAGTGATCCAAAGGCTCGAAGATCTGAGACCCAGGAAGAGATCATCGAGAAACTGGCATTCATCTCAAATTTCATCAGACGCTTGATCAGGAAGACTTTCGGAGCGAGCCGATATAGTTACTACCAGAAACCAGATGACGAAGGTGCCGCTCCATACAAATTCATCGACATTAGCCCCGCCATCAAATCGGAGCGGAAGAATGTCACAAAGGAGATCCTCGTTGCATGCCGCTACTATGGCATAGAGGTATCCGATATCCAAGCACAGAAATTGAAGCTCTTTGAGGAGCAGATCCGAAGGGGAAACCCAAGGAACGTTGAGCTCATCAAGGACTACATTGGCTTTGTCGGAGCTGACTACATGCGACAACTCACGAATGGTTGAACATCGGGGTCATACCGACATACTACTTCCGGTACTTCAAGTACTGAGGGATCTTGGGTAATTCATGATGACCGTTTTGGCATCATGGGAGGGCGATAGGATTGTGTTTCACACCGTTGGTAATCGCATGATACCATAGGTAGGTGCACGTCTTCCGTTTGTAGCTCCGTTACCTGTTTGATCCAACTGTCAAGCGGATGCAAGATCGTTTGCTAATTCAGTTCGATAGGACATACTGGTTGACCTCCAATGCACTTTTGAGAACATGATTCGTTCTCCGGTTTTTTACATCCACTCATCTCCCTTCCCCGTCGAAGTACGGATGTGGGGGGTGTCAATAGGGATGAGGTCCCAGTATAGTTGCTATACAGGTACATGCCATATACTTTTGGCTCAAGTGCCCAACCAGGTAAAAAGGAGCTTTAGCGCGCGAGCTTCATGTTGAACTAAGGGCTAGAACGGGGCCAGGGCACACCTTTCCATCCGTTCGCAATGTTGACACTATGTCACGAAAGGTAGCCTGGTAAGGACTACCTTGAGTTTGCTTTGCGAAGCAAAGGGACTGGCTTGAGAGCTTGCTCGGGACTAAAGATTGGTAGATCAATGTCTAACACCCCCACCCTCCCCTCCCATGTGATGAATGATTGATAAATCAATTGATTCGACCCCCCCCCCTCCCCTCCACTCCCCTCCCCGTCCCCTCCCCTCGTCGCCAGCACAACTAAATTCTGGACATAAGGTGAAGTCATGCGCTTAACAGTCACAGCAGTACGACGCTGGCCATGAGGTTGGTCATACGGGTACCTCTTCTGATTGTTTGCTTCTGCTGTCACCACCTCATGGGCTTTGGTTGCAGAAGATGACTCCCTGTCAGGTCACGTGCTTGTTTGTGAATGGGTGGTAAGCTGCTTTGGCAATTTTTTCAAGGCACTGGTGCCAATCTTTTGAAGGTGTTTGCTCTAGCTATCGCACATGCTGCGGAGTGGTAAATATTTTCGTGGTTTTGGAGGCCATACAGACATCCAGCAGTGGCTTTTGTTCTAAGCGCCTGTTCTTTGCAGGTATATTTGCATTTCTGCATATGAAATACTTGGCCTGCTCATTGTGTTTTGGCAAAGCCACCAGGGACGCTTCGAAGATACAATAAATGTTCTAAGACTAGGACTAGGGCTTTAGACATGTTCTATATAAGGTTGGAGGCCATCGCTAGTAGGGTGGAGGCCATTATAAGAAGAATTCCAAATGGTGTTTCCAAGAGTGCAGGGTTCTCACTTTTTGAGCAGAATGCTCCAAGCCTCCGTCTGCGGCTATATCTACTAGTGGCTCCTGGCCATACTACTAGGAGCAAATAGCTACTAGTAGCGTCCTTGCTCCTGGTAGCGATGCCCTTTGCTCCTAGTAGCGTCCTTGCTCCTAGTAGTAAGGCCAGGAGCCCCTAGTAGCGTCCTTGCTCCTACATATATAACTGTATCTTTGAAATTTGTGTGGGATGACTTCAAGCGTTTGACCTCAGCATGCTTGAATCATGGTTCTGGAATTTGGTTTGATATCATTGAAGTACCCAAGGTTCATCTTTGCCTGGAACATCGAGATCAACCGTTAAAGGTGCGAACTGCCATATATAAATAGCAAAGGCATAAGCGTTCTTGGCAATGAAACATGAGTGTTCTCCTTGCGCTTTGCGAACGGAGAGAATGTACACTGAGTTGTTTTGCTGCCTGGGAACAATTTTCTCCTATGCTGGGATGTCATTGGCACGTTTTGGTCCATCAGATCTAGAAGGCGGAGGAATTCAGGTGAATCTCCGCGAAGGCTTCGCAGGCAATCTTTGCTTTGCGGCGAACAAACCAGGCTTTTCGCCGCACAAAGGCGCCTGACATGCGGTGGCCCGCCAGAGTCCCAGAAAGGTTGGGCACGGCTAGTGGATATCAGCTTTCTGAAACAGAACCTGAAGCGCAGAAGGTGAGGGTGATGTATCACCGAGAGAGACTTTCATGCAAGGCTGATGTCGCCAGTTGGCCAAATGCGGCTGAATATTCAGATGCATGGCGCCACTTGAGCTTCATGGAGGCTCAGTGTGAGCTGGTTTACCGTTCAATGAGCATCCACCAGGGAGAGAAACGACTCGCATCGACTAACTGGTAGCCACTTGTAGCTGCCATGCCCTGCATTCAACAGAGCCGGCTTACAGAATTGTCAAAAGACGGCACAGCTAAAAACAAGAGCCTGAACATTAGCCTAGCATCATGCTGCAACAGAGGCAGTTTCCAAAGCTGTAAAATGTTTTTGGCATTTGAGATTTGTTCACGCTGACGCCATGTCGATAGAAGTGCAGTCCTTGGCGATCAATGCACTCACCAAGCGCATCCAAGAGGAAGCCAAGGTGTTGCCAGATGGCATCCTGAGGGTCGCTGATTTCCTGAATTACAGGGTCGACCCAGTCTTAATGGATGACTGCGGAGCAATTTTGGCAAATAAACTTTCCAGCAAGAAGCCTACCAAAGTTTTGGCTGGATGCTCCAGTGACTTGACTGGAAGCTGTGTTTGTGTTCGACGATTCCCTTACCGTAGCCATCGCTGGAGTTAGCTTGGTGAATTTCTTGAAACGTATGATCCTTTGCAAGCAACAATAGTAGCTTCTTGTTACTAGTAGCGATGCACCTTGCTACTTGTAGCGATGCACCTTGCTACTAGTAGCGATGCACCTTGGTACTAGTTGCGATGCACCTTGCTACTAGTAGCGGTGCGCCTTGCTACTAGTAGCTTAGCATTCTTTTCATTTGCGTTCTTTTCTTTATAGTTGGATGCCGCACACAGGTCAGGGTCTTTTACCTGCCCTAGCAACTTCCAGGCAGGACTGCAGCAACTGCCTTGAAACGACTGAATTGTGTGTTATGGTTTCCATGCGTTATATTGTTGGCAGCGGCCAAACAGGTTGCAAAATCACAAGTTCAAGACTTGAAGACATGGCAGAACAGCCTTGAGATGTTATGATCCTCTCCTGAGACACCTGAACATCCCGGTAGTCTTTGCCTATGCTTCTGTCCCGAACGCTTGGGGATCTCGCGAGACCATCTCAGCCACGATACAGGAAGCCAGACATGGTTGAGTCATCAGTGTCCTTTCTTTTCTAATGTCTTTAGATATCTTTACATATTGCCAACTTTGTTCTTTAACGGTCTTTAAGAGACTCCAACTTTTATCCATTTTATGTCCATCTTGGTTTGTGTTGACATAGGGTGCCAAGATGTATTGTCAATCTATCCCAAACATTGCCAGGTCCCTGATATATAAACCGGGCTCTTTTTTGGCTTTCTCTGGCGGGAGCGGAAAAGAAACAATCAAAACTACTTTCCAGGTGAGCCGGGCTAGAAAGCAAGCAGCCCCCTTTCAGCCGCATTGATTTTTGCCGACAGTTTAATATCAACCTAGCGTGAAACAGATATACTCGTGCCATGCACAGACTTTTAAACACCCGCACATGCAAACCTTGTTGCTCCTCGGACAAATTAGGAGCGAGCTCATTTTGTATTGAAAGATGCCATCTCTGCAGAAGACCGTGTTATCATCATTGACGACATCGTAAGGACAGGGCAAATGGTTCATCCTTAACACAGATCATTTTGGAATACAGATTCTAGGGCGATTCTTTTCCTCCGTCTAGACTGCCCCTGAGCGATGAGTGCCGAAAGTGGTGTGTAGTCTTGTGAGGACAGGATCAACAGTTCAGGCTCTCAAGTCCATTTGTGAGCAAGCGGGTGCTACCTTTGTTGGCGTCGGTGCGATCATCCACAACCGGCTGCTGGAGAACTGCATGAATGGCTTTCAAATGGAAACGCTTGCTCAGGCGGCCGGAGACTTTCGCACCAAATCTTTGCGGACATGCGGTACAACATACACAGGAGTCGAGAAGCATTGGGTACAACATGGTGCAACTGTTACACCTGCTCTTTTGGACACACATGCACACTAGATTGCATGAACACCCATTTGGAATGCAGGTTTCGCCATCCTCATCTTCCTCACAACCTGTGACCATTAGCCCAGCTGTCGATGACTTGGCCTTGCCGGAGGTTGTTGCTGCAGATGTTCTCACCGAACGCGTGATGACTGACGGCGTGGTTCTGCCCGGAAATCTTCTGAAGGTCTACTCCTTTATCAATCACCAGGTGCCGCTTGCTTGACAATATCCTCCGATGTGAGAATGAAGTGCATGCGTGATATAAATATGCAAGTGAAACGGATACTGGTTTAACAGAATCCCGCTCCAACAGAGACACTATATCCTGAGGCCATCCACGATTAAAAGAAATAGACTTCCATGGTTGTGATTCCAACATAAGGACTTTGAGGCAGTGTCTTTGTTGAAGGACTAGCTACTAAGAGGCATACGAGGCATGTCCTGAGCCAGCCAATGAAAGCAAGCTGGATGAACAATCCTGGGTAGGTCGACACTGGCTTGATGGATATGTGCGGGCAATTGCTCGCACGTGTTTTTGCTGGGTTTGGCATTCAGAAGGTCCTCACGGCACAGACGGGCGGTCTACCACCAGCGCATGCTGTATCTTGTCACCCAAGTCTGGTGGCCATTCTTTTTACTGATGGTTCACATTTTGTCCTGTTGGCTTTTCCTCTATCATGCGAATTTGGAGCTGTTTAGCAAGGGTGATCAGAGATATATCCAGTTGTTTCTTGTGAAACATTTTGCTTGGATGAGGTGGCTACCGCGTTGCGGGTACCCTTGGTCTGTGCGCGAGAGACGCATGAAAATGATCAGTCTGTGATGGAAACTATGTATAGCGCACCATCTGAGAGCTTTACGAAAAAGAAGAAACTCGTGCTCTATGTTACAAAGGATACCTGGCAAGATTAGAGCAGGAAGTGAGTAGAGTCACGTCAGACTGTCGACCCGGCTGATGACTCATTTGTTGTCAAGTCCTCAAAATGTTCTTTTCTCAGTGGATCAGGCACTGGTGGTGTGAAAACAAATTTTCTGCTGGTTCTTGAAAGAGACATGTCGTGTCTGTTATTTTATTGTAATTTAAGGGGTCCTCGTTACTGTTGTTGATGCGCTTTGCTCTCTTGTTTCAGGAGAGCCTTTGTTCGAATGATACTGTGCTCGTGGTCGACGATTTCCTGGCCACGGGAACTACTGGAGTTGCGCTGCATCGACTTGCTGAGCAAGCAGGTGCTCAGGTGGCGGGAATGGCCTTCTTGGTGGAAAAGCGCTTTCAGGATGGTCGAGGAGCATTTTGCCATCCAAAAAATCATATGCATCATGAGCAGTATCGAAGAAAGGCCAGGAGCTTGTTCGCTACTAGGGGCTCCTGGCATCGCTACTAGTAACAAGGACGCTATTAGTGGCTCCTGGCATCGCTACTGGTGTGGTGTGGCGGGACTGCACCCTAGCACCTACCGGTCCGGGCCCACCAGGCACTCTGCAACCGGGAGCCCCCGCCTGCCGACGGGGGGGAGTAGCAGCCTGGAACTTAGCAGCCTGGGAGTAGCAGCTCCTGGCATCGCGACTAACTAGGAGCAAGGACGCTATTACAAGTTCTATTCGGGTCGCTTCGCGACGACAACCGCCCGCACCAGTGGCTCTCAGAGAGAGGGCAAAAGAAGTCTCTATAATCAATCCATCTTCGGAGTTTCCGTCTGATACATGTTGTATGTCTCACTTGCAATTGCAAGCATTGTTGGATCTATGTTTCGACACCCTTGAAACTGTACATTTTCAACAAGGTCGAAAAATAGAGTGACCATGCACAAGAAACTGTACAATGTGCATGATCAAGACAAGACTTGGAGATGAACGTCGCATGAAGTGGATGAGTGAAAGTGGAGTATCCATAATAACTCTATTTTTGGACCTTGCAACTTGTTTGTATATATAGGTATGTTTTCTTTGCAACTTGCAAGCATTGTTGGATATATTTTTCGACCCTTTCACACTGTACATTTGAGGGTGTCCAAATTTTATCAACTGGCACTTTCTTTGCACACTGTACTAGCAACCAGCTGATGCACCAGCTGATACATATGATACCGTCTGGCACGGACACGTCCTCAGTCATTTTTGGGATTCTCGGGTGATGGATGACAAGGATGAGGATGATGAGGAGGATTAAGATTATGATGATGACGACGAGGAGGAGGAGGATGATGATGATGATGATCGAATCTAATATATATCCAAGAATTGTCAAAGCCTTCCAAGGGTTGCCCATCATCAGACCTTTTTGGCACCTAGGGACCTAGTTTACATTGGTATCAGGCAGCCTCTGTCCTGGCAAAGCGCTTTGTGGACGCTAAATGCAGCGCAGTGCTGACGGCAGAGATGTCCGGTGTGGCGCCCGCCATGGCATTGGCACGGAAGCTGCGTGTGCCCTTGGTTTGTGCCAGGGCCACAGCGAAAAAAAAACAGAAGGAAAGAGAGGATAGGCCCTTTAAAACTCTTAACACTCTTAACGGGTCCTTGCCTTCTTTTTTTGCCTTTTTGTTTAGACCCTTGGTAGACACTAGATGGATATTATGCTTTGACCGTTTCGTTTCGTGCCAAGGCCAGGAGGGAGCTGAGCAAAGTGATGGTGGTGTCGGGGGGCACGGTGTCCGCGAAGGTTGAGGGCAGCACGGATTCGGCACGTGGCATGCTACACATCTTCAAGGACAGCTTTTGAGGAATGAACTATTTCTAGTCTCTTACTGTAATTCTATATTCGACGCAGGTGTTGAGGAAGCTTCATATCTCTGGACACGTTGGCCAGCCCTCATACTCAGGACCACTTGAGGAGAGATGATACTGCGCTCTTGTCAGCAAAAGCAGAGATTTAGAAGAACAAAGAATCGCATCTAATCATACTGATGAAAGCATCACATCCAAGACGGTAGAAAGGTTTGCGGTGGAGTGAACATCATGTTCATATCCGAGCCAATAAAGGGTACAGGAAGACCTACCCCCCAAATACCCTTTAAACTTTGATCAAAGAAACCTTGGTGAGCTGCTCATAGGAACTGCTTTCCAAGCTCATCTTACTTACAGACCCAACTGATTCTTAAAGTATGGATCCACACGGTGACACAAACGCTTTTTAGCCATTGTCGCTGACTCTTGCTGTGTCTTGCAGCCAAAACTCTGCAAAAGGTGCTGGTAGTGGACGACATCCTCGGAAATGGTGCTACAGCTTTGGCAATGCAGGAGCTTTGCGAGCAGGTCGCGCCTGTTTATGTCTAGACAGTGAGAATCTACATTAACGGGAGTTTGCTGGGATACACTACCAAATTGTGGAAAAAGGGACATTGACAGGAAAAGGGGTTGGCCAAAGAAGGGAACAACCCCATTTGCCCTAGAACCTAGAAAAGAGGCAACGAATGAACAAATCGAGCAGTCGTTTGGTATAAGAGTTTCTGGTGGCAGTTTGTTTTGAGTCAGTAGATGTGGGTGGATAAACACTCAGGGCTTCAAGAGGCTCCAAGGGAGCTTTTACTGTAATAGAATTTCTGTCTCAAGTTGGAATTCCTCTGTCCTTATTGTCAAATATGACCAATCGCATAGAAACAGGCTGAAAGTGGACAGCTTCCTTTTCGTATTGCCCACGATCTCCAGGTGGGTGCTACCGTGGTGGGCATGGGCTTCCTTGTGGAGAAGGCGACCAAGCACGGTCATGTTTTGGAGTGGAACTACAAACTACAATTTCAAAAATTGGATGTCGGAAGGGTCCAGTCTTAGAAATTCAGAATCTGATTGGTGCAACGTGAAGCTCTACTTGGACTGCACCAAGGGTGTAGCCACCAAAGGGTATGATGGATCATTTGTCAGGTGTTCCAACATGGACGTGGCAAAATCCTTGCAAGGCGCCCACAACTGGAGGTGTCTTGGCGGATGGTTCTTTTGCCCTTTTTCCCTGCTGGGATGTTGATCGGTTGGGAGTTTCTGTTCTCTTAATGCTTTCTGCTTTCTTTCGAACAAGGCATAGAAACGAAAGCATGACACGTGCAAAGGTCGCAAAGGTTAAACAGCTGCTTGTGAGACTCCGTTGACAAAAAGAGCTGACAGATTGCAATGAATCTCACTCTGTGTTAAGTTCAGGGCTCAGTGGTTTTTGTTTCTCCTAGTCTTCCAGCTAAGGATGGCATCGTGGCGCTTACAAAGATCCTTTCGATGGATGACAAAGGACATCCTAGCCTAGCCTCACCACCAAGCACATATTAAAGGAATACTACTCTTTGTGAGACTGGACACAACATACAAGTTCAGCCGTTCCATGAAAACCCACACTACCCTTTGGGAGCATCGAGATCGTGGCAAAATGATTATGTGATGTCTCCTTGTTTTGGAGCTTTGTGCCATTTTAGGTTTTCGTTTTGAGTGCGTTTTTCCTGCATGTCTTTTTAGGATTGAAGATCTTCCGCTGTCCAGAGCCTCACCGAGACACATGGCTGCGGGTCGCCAGTGATTTGGTGCGCCGAATGAGCGCTGAAGTGGAGATCGACGTGGCAGCTAATGCCATGAAGTTTCGATCGGTACCTTGGTGGCGGGCTGCGCCTAGCGGCATAGCCCTAATTTAATACCTTTCAATCCAATCCTTTGATGTCTGACAGCCTCTTACCGTGTGCTGAAAGGTTCTTGGACTTCATATGAGCATGGACCCTGTGCTGCTAGATGCATGCGGCGACGTTTTGGCTGCGCAGTTTGCTGGCGTCACCAAGGTCTTGACAGGCGAGGCTTTTCCGGTGTTAACGGAGTTTGTCCAAGGGACGTCCTTTCAAGGAATCTTTTACTCAACAACCTTGGTTTCCAATTCTCCAAGAAGTCCTGGCAAAATCCAATTCTGAACACCTGTGTTTGTCTCAATTATACAGCAAATGTCAATGACAAGGAAGATGATGACAATGGCAGCAGTAGTGATGATTGGTGGCGATCATGATCATGTCAGTACAGATGCTGGTGCTGCTGTTCGAGGCGCTGAGGCTCCTCCTCATGATGTTGACGCTGTTGCTGTTCCTCCTCCTCCTCCTACTACTACTTCTACTTCTACTACTACTGCTACTACTGCTACTGCTACTGCTACTGCTACTACTGGTACTGCTACTGCTGGTACTGCTACTACTGGTACTGCTACTACTACTACTACTACGACGTTACTACTACGACGTTACTACTACGACGCTACTACTACTACGTTACTACTACTACGTTACTACTACTGCGTTACTACTACTCCGTTACTACTACTCCGTTACTACTACTA